GTGGGGGGAGGGACGTGGCCCCCCTCCCCCCCCCGCCATGCTCCAGCAGCTGCCCGCACCCTGCATGTCACCCGGGGCTGAGCCTGCAGCCCAGGGGACGCAGCTTAGCCCCGTGCGGCCCCCCTGGCATGTCACCGGGGCACAGCAGGTGTAAGGTGGGGTGGGAGCACAAGGGCGCCGGCGATTCCCTGGGCCGGGAGCAGAACGGGCACAGCCCCAGGAGCAGTGGAGGGTGCTGGGGGCAGCGCCGGGGCTGGGCACCCATGGGCTGCGGGGGGACGGCTCCAGCACAGGGGACCCCCACCCACGCTGGGGCAGGCCGTGTGGAAGAGCTGCAGGCATGGGAGCCTGTGTGAGCCCGGGGGGAGCGGCTGCTGCTGCCGGTGCCTGGGCGGCATCTGAGGCCGGCGCAGGGGGAGCGGGGCTGTGGGATGTACCCACCAGCATCCCGTACTCGTGAGCATCCCGTGCCCGAGTGGCTGCATGCAGGCAGAGCTGCCTGGCCCGGCGCAGGGCCCCTGCCACAGCACAGCTCCAGCCTGGGCGCCATTCCCAGCCGCCTGGCACCCCCACGGCGAGCACAGCGTGGGGGCACCCCAGGCTGGCACCCAGCCTGCTGCAGCACCTGGAATGGTGGGCACGGGCCGATGCGCTTGTGGGCGGTGGGATGCGCCGGTGGGACGGCTGCGGGTCGGGAAAAGGGGCTCACCCATTGGTGCCACAGCAGCCCCAGCACGCCGGTGCCCAACCCTGGTGGGACGCCCGCAGCCGTTCGCGGTCCCTGGGGGTGTGCAGCCACCCCGTCCCCGGCGGCACCCTCTCCTCTGTCGGGGCGCCTGCCCTCTCCCCTCTCCTCTGTCGGGGCGCCGCCCCGAGGCCGGCACTCACCACGGTGAAGTTGCGCGCGGTGAAGTTGGCGCGCGGAAGGAGTGCAGTTGGCGCCGCGGAAGGAGCACTGCAGCAGCATGTCAGCCAGGTCGTGGCCGGTGCGGTTGTAGAACTCGGCCATGCTGAAGGGCTTCGCCTTGAAGTTCTTGAAGTTGGCCTTGTCACGCAGGGCGGCCAGGACGTGGGGCTCAGCCAGCTGCGGGTTGCTGATCTCGTAGCGGTCGTTGAGCAGCGCCAGCAGCTCGCCCACGTGGTACATGTCGTTGCGGGTGATCTTGGAGAATCGGAACTCGTTGAGGTTGCAGATGGTGATGGCCGGGAAGGTGAGGTTGTGGGCAGCCACCTCGTCCAGCTTGGTGACGTGGGGGTAGGTGAGGAAGTAGGCGATGCGCTCGGCGCAGACCAGCAGCAGCAGCCCCAGTGAGCCCAGGAAGAAGGCGCCCCACAGCACGCGGCGCAGCGACACGGCCCCGTAGGCGAAGACGTGGCTGATGCCGTGCAGCGAGGAGCTGTGGGCGAAAGCCCGCAGGCTGGAGAGCCCCTCGCCCTCCCCGCTGCCCTCCGAGCCCGCCCTCATCCTGCCGCCGGGCCCCCGGGCTCCCCGCCGCCCTCAGCCCCCCCGCGCCCCCGGCCGC